GCGGCTCCCGGCAGCCCCCAGCCGCTGCTGCACACCCCGTGCCAGGTAGCGTTGTAGAGCACCTCCACCCGCCCCGCACAGGGACCGGAACCGTCCTGCACCCGCACCTGCAAGGGGTTTGTGCCTGAAAGATGGAGCAAAGGGGGTTAGATGGCCGCACTGACCCTGTATGCTGATGGAGAGGAGCATGCAAGGCGCCCACGCTTGGAAGGATGGGTGTGCATCCAATGTGCCACCTCTACCTGCTGCACCATTGGCCCTCCCCAGCTCCCTTGCAAGGTCATTTCCATCACTGATGTCCCACCAGTGCTGCCACCTTACCAGTCCCAGATAAAACTCTTTTTTGGGGTATCTGAGCATTTCCCCCCGGGGACCACCTGAGCACACGACTCCTGCGTCTTCCTCATGGTTGCAGTTATGGACTCCCCAGCCGCTAAGGCTGCACTGGGAGAAGGTGGTCTCCATGCCGGTGCACTCCACGTCATCCAGCCAGATGGGATCTGACCCGTGCCCGAAGTGAGCTTGGCCCGGGGCTGACACGGCTGTCCCGCAGCCCAGCTGCCGGCAGACCACTTTGGCATCCTTCAGATCCCAGCCGTCATCACAGATGGTCCCCCACTGTCGTTGGTGAAGCACCTCCACTCTCCCAGCGCAGCGGTTTGGGCCATCAGCCAAGCGGACCTGCGTCAGCGTCTCTGTGATGTTGGCATCTGCCAGGAGAAAACCAGTTAGGAAAGGAGAACAGGGCACATATCACCTTGCCAAAAAAAAAAATAATCCACAAACCAGAAGCCAGAGTGGAAATACAGAGTCATTATGGTCCCCTGTAGCAAGGGATGCGACCCCCCCAACCCTTCCAGGGGAGCCTAGCCATAGGGATGGACTTCAGTTGCACCTTCATGCCCTAAAATGGTGGCGTCTCCTCCGTGCAAGCATGTGGACCAGGCAATGGAGACCAGGCCGGGGATTTGGGGCCAGGTGGTCCCCTCGAGGCAGGGCTTGGCTCGCTTAGTGCCATGGGGGAGGGGGATGAAGGTTTCAATGAGATGTTGGTTGTGAATGGGGTGGGAACACATTGCTAGTTGGGCACAAGTCTGGCCAAAAAGAGGCTACGACTCTTTGCCAGCCCCCTTCCCCAAAAACCACACCTTTCCAGAGCTAGCATCACCCTGGAGGCAGCCAGATGCAGGACAGACCCTCCTGTTCCCCCTGCCCGCATGACCTGTATCACAGAGACATACCCGAGCACACCACGCCAGCGTCCTCTCCGTGGTTGCAGTTGGTCTGTCCCCAGGCGTGAGCTCGGCACTGGGCGAGGTTGTCTTCACTCCCGGTGCAGCTTGTGTCATCCAGCCAGATCTGCCCCGTCCCCTGTTGGGGGCCATCACGGCCCTGCCGCAGCCCAGCTGCCTGCAGACTACTGCCGCGTCGTTCAGGTCCCAGCTGTCGTCGCAGACCGTCCCCCACAGCCCATTGTGGAGCACCTCCACCCTCCCAGCGCAGTCGTTTGGTCCTTCTGCCAGGCGGACCTCTGCCACCTCTGCCCCAGCCAGGTCTGCGGGCAGAGAAGCAGGCAATGCAGTGTGAGGGCAAGAGAACCACACATCTGGGGGAACTTTCTGGTGGCACTGGCCAGGATGCAAACCTAGGGCAGGTGCCCAACCACGGAGGGATGGGAGGACAGATCCTAACCTGAGTCCTACCTGCAGAGACACGCAGGCAGGCATGGCCCTTGGGGCTTCGTAAGCACCACCAGGCACCTATGTTTGGCCTCCCAACTCAGTCCCCGATGGGGAAAGGGAGAAATACATCTACTTTCTCAGAGCCTCGCTGGGACCCAGCAGAGTCTCCGTGCAGCCTGCATCCTAAGCCAGGCATCGATGTCCCTTTTTCCCCCCTTTCCCGCTCAGCTGTGCCAAGGACGGTTGGACCAGGGCAGCTCCACAGGCTACTGGGGTGTGGGGATGGAGACCAACACCATCTGCCAAGAGGACAAGCCCCCATGCCCTGGAAATCTCCCTGCAACCAATGGTCCTGGGGTCAGGGTGGAGAGGAAAAGGGTTTTTTTGGGGGGTGGGGGTAGCCCTAAGCTGTGCTTTTAGGTCCTCGCAGGAATGAGCATCACCTGAGCAGACCACGCCAGCATCCTCTTCATGGGTGCAGCCGTTGATTCCCCAAGGCCTGGCCCGACACTCCATGATGGTGCTTTCCCTCCCGATGCAGGCAACTCTGTCCAACCAGATGGGATTCAGCCCCCTCCCAAAGGAAGCCCCTGTGGGGGCCGCGATGGCCGCCCCACAGCCCAGCTGCCGGCAGACCACTGTCGCGTCGATCAGGTCCCAGCCGTCGTCACAGACGGTCCCCCATTGCTGGTTGTGAAAGACCTCCACCCTCCCAGCACAGTGATGTGGGCCATCCACAAGCCGGACAGTCGTTGTGTTGGTTGTGCTGGTGTCTGGAAGCACCATAGAAATGTCATGGTGGGTTGGGGACACAGACGGTGCTGGTGGCAGTCCAGGAAGGACTTGACCATCCCGCTGCCACATCAACCCGGAGGCAGCAATATGCAGGATGGACACCCCCTTGCCCCCCCAGAGATCCCATGACATACCTGAGCACACCACACCAGCGTCTTCTCTATGGTTGCAGTTACTCTGTCCCCAGGGACGAGCTCGGCAGTGGGCGAGGGCATCCTCGCTGCCGGTGCAGGCCACCTCATCCAGCCAGATCTGCCCTGTCCCCTGCCCGAAGTGAGCCCGGCTGGGGGCTGCCTGAGCTCTGCCGCAGCCCAGCTGCCTGCAGACCACTGCTGCATCGTTCAGGTCCCAGGCGTCATCGCAGACCGTCCCCCACTGCCCAATGTGGAGCACCTCCACCCTCCCAGCGCAGCGGTGTGGCCCATCCACCAGCCGCAGGTCAGCTGAGCTGAAGTTGCCTGCTTTTGTGGAGAGAGAAATAGGTGGGCACATGGCTGGAGGGCACCCCCACATCCTTGGACCACCCCCTGCCTGCATCCCTGGACCACCACCCAGGTGCACCATCCCGAGTGCCTCCAGGGAGGAGCAGGGCAGGGCCAGCATTCGGGTATTGGTAGCATTGAGTAAAAAAACCGCATTGACATGGCCAGGTGCTCCTGTTTTACCAGAGGCAGAACCCTGGGCATGATGCCTGGCTGCCAGGTTTGGGTTAGAAGGGATCTTTAAAGACCATCTAGTCCAACTCCCCTTCCATGGGCAGGGACATCTTCCACTAGATCCGGTTGCTCAAAGCTCCCTACAACCTGACTTTGAACACTTCCAATATGGACTCATAGAATGGTTTGGGTTGGAAGGGACCTTTAAAGATCACGTAGTCCAGCCTCCCCTGTGATGAGCAGGGACATCTTCGACTAGATCAGGTTGCTCAAAGCCCCATTCACCCTGACCTTGAATGTTTCCAGTGATGTGGCATCCACAACTTCTCTGGCAACCTCTTCCAGTGCCTCACCACCCTCACGGTAAAAAAATTCTTTCTCATGTCCAACCTAAATTTCCCCTCTTTCAGTTTAAAACCCTTGCTCCTTGTCCTGTCACTACAGGTCTTGGTAAAAATTCTCTCTCTGTCTTTCTTGTAAGCTCCCTTTATATATTGAAAGGCTGCAATAAGTCCTGGAGCCTTCTCTTCTCCAGGCTGAACAACCCCAATTCTCTCAGCCTGTCTTCATAGCAGAGGTGCTCCAGCCCCCTGATAATCTCCGTGGTCCTCCTCTGGACTCACTTCAACAGCTCCATGTCCTTCTTGTCCTGGGGACCCCAGAGCTGGACGCAGTACTCCAGGGGGGTCTCACAAGAGTGGAGCAGAGGGACAGAATCCCCTCCCTTGACCTGCTGGTCACGCTGCTTTTGATGCAGCCCAGGATATGATTGGCTTTCTGGGCTGCCAAGTGCACACTGCCAGCTCGTGCCCAAGACCCCACATCCTTCTCCGCAGGGCTGCTCACCCCCTTCACCCCCCAGCCTGTACTGACAGTGGGGATTGCCTCAACTCAGGTGCGGGACCTTGCTCTTAGCCTTGAGGTGAAGGTCCAGGAGATACACAGGGGCGAGAGCTGCAAGAAGCCCCAGCCCTGCACACAGCATCTGGCAGGAGCTCTGCCCCCAGCCAGCCCCGTCCTTGCTCTCACCTGCGCACACCACGCTGGCATCCTCCCCGTGGCGGCAGTTGTGGACACCCCACATCTTGGCTCCGCACTCAAAGAAGTTGGTTTCCTGCCCTGTGCAGCTCACATCATCCAGCCAGATGCGACCGGATCCCCACCCGAACCGAGCCGCGCCAGGGGCCGAGACGGCCCCCCCGCAGCCCAGCTGCCGGCAGACCACTGCTGCGTCACTCAGGTCCCAGCTGTCGTCGCAAACAGTCCCCCACTCGTTGTTATAGAACACCTCGACCCTCCCGGCGCACTCACTCCAACCACCCACCAGGCGAAGCCTGGGGATGCTGTCAATCCCCGAGCCTGAAAAATACCCAAAACTGAGCATTATTAGGGATATACTTGTGCATCTTAACACTCGCAGGGTTGGAGAAGGCAGGACATCCCCGTGGCACTTCTGGATGGTGTTGCTGCAGCAAGCTCGTATGGCCGTTGCCCTTTATCAGCGATTTGCAGCAAAGTAAGCACAGGGGTTTTTGCAGGGTGGAAGGAGCTGCAGAAGATCCGTTCCACCGTTTGCACCCTGAGGGTGGTTGCACCCTGGTTCAGAGATCAGGACAGGAGAAAGTACACGTGTGTCCACCTGAGAGTCGCCATGCTGGGACGAGGGGATGCACGAGGGTCCTTCCCAGTGTTTCTCCCTGCTTTCCTTCCACTTTGCTTGGAAGCTACATCACCTAGGTTCACCTAGCTCTACCTACTTCTTGCCCTAAAGAAAATGGCAGGGATCTTTTTCTGGTTGTCCCTGTTCTGACTGCTTCTGACTGCCGCATTGACCCGTCCGTGCAGCTGGACCTTCTATGGCCATGGCTAGACTGGTAGCAGCTAGCTCAGAAGTGGTGCATTACATGGTAATACATGTGGTTACAGCACATCTTTCTGCATTTATCTGCACAACCTAGCATTTTACCGTGCCGGCAGCAAAGGTTGTTCTGCCTGCTCTTGATCTGGGGCAGGGTGCAGTCACATCTGCTGTCACTTGAACAGCACCCGTGCACCTTCATCTACTGCTCCCCAAGGGTGCAGGTGCTTCACCCCATGAAAATGTCTTGGACACCTCCAATGGTACTAGACACTGAGGCATGTCTTAGGCCACGTTACTTTTTTCCCAGTGTATCCTATTTGTCCATGTCTCTGAACACTGTTACTTTAACACGGTTTCTACCAATCTGGGCAATTTGTTGGCCAGCTTGTTCCCAAACTGTTCCCAGCCTGCAGAAGGACGGGGCTTGGTCTGTCTTACAGAGAAAGCATATGGTGAGGGTTACCTGAGCACACAACACTGGCGTCTTCCACATGGTTACATGCATGGTGTCCCCAAGACTTGACCTGGCATTCAGCGAGGGTGGCTTCTGTCCCGAGGCAACTCACCCTATCTAGCCAGATGGGGCCAGATCCTTGCCCAAACCCAGATAAACCTGGGGCTGACACCGCTGTCCCACAGCCCAGCTGCCGGCACACCACAGCCGCATCTTTCAGGTCCCAGCCATCGTCACAAATGGTCCCCCACTGCTGGTTGTGAAAGACCTCCACTCTCCCAGCACAGCGGTGTGGGCCGTTCACTAGCTGCAGGGCTTCCAAGCTCCTCAGGCCCAAGTCTAAAAACAGGATTGGAGGACAATAAATCCTGGCCAGAAATGCCTGCCTGTGCAGTGGGTGGCAACATGGTAGACCTCCCCTTGCAAGGACTCTTGCAAAGTCTCCACCAGCGTGTGGCATTTCTGCTGCTGCTGCTGCAGCCTGGGTGTGCATGCATGAACACTTTTTGGGACAAGCCTGCTAGGACCATGCCCAGTAGATTGTGAACCTGGCCACGTTCCTAAGGAGTTCCTATGATATGAGTATCATCATGGGGAGAAGCAGGCAAGGAGGCACCAAATGCATTGTGCACCTGAGCAAGAAATAGCTTGGTGAACAGAAGGGACTCCCCAAGGACTAGAGACTGTGTGGTAGCATGGATCAAAAAAATCCACGAGGGCAGCTGCAAGCCTGGTGTTCCAGGGCTCTTTGTATGATGGAAAGCCTACATCTTACAGGCCTGGAATTTCTGGGAATTCGAGGCTTTGAATTTCCAAGTACTTTGCCTGAGGGAAGACAGGGACTGGTAGACCTCGAAATGGAAAACACCTTGTGCTCCCTGGTGGGACCACAGGAAAAAGGAGTGGTTGCGAAAGGACAAGGAGGAGCTGGATGGGTGAATTTGGTCAGACTGCACGGTCTCCCCCAAGGGAGGACTGATCCCCGACTCACCGCCACTGACCTGCGGCTGCAGAGCATGCGACACCTGCGTGCCCCTTTGACTTGCAGCTCTTGGCACCCCAGAACTTGACCTTGCATTCGAAGAGGGCCCCCTCCATCCCGGTGCACTCCACAGCATCCACCCAGATCAGGCCATCTCCTGTCTCATACTGGGTAGACCCTGCAGCCGAGTGCGCTGCCCCGCAGCCCAGCTGCCGACACACCACATGGGCTTCGGCCAGGTCCCAGCCATCGCTGCAGATGCCTCCCCAGCGCTGATCGTGAAACACTTCAACTCTCCCGGAACACGAGTCTGAGCCATTCACCAGGCGAAGGTTTCCAAGGTCAGAAATGCCTGATCCTATGACACCAGAGAGCATACACACATTAGGGAGATACTTTCTGCCCCGTGAAACCTCCAGCTGCCAGCAATGGGTTTACACCAGAGGCTGAGAAGCCTTGGGGGGGGGTCAAGGATGCTCTTGTGACACAGAGATGGCAGACCTTTGAGGTGTGATGTAATCTGGCCCAAGTGGTGCCCTAGGCTTAATTAGCATGGGCTTGACCAGACTATAGTCAATGGACCTTATATAGTTTGCCCTCCTAAAGCAGATGCACAGGGCAGGGTCCAGTTGCCAAGACGGAGGCATCCTTGTGCTGTTTGGGACTCCTGGGATACCTCACCTGCCCTCCAACTGCTGCTTCTGAATGACACAGGTTTCCCCATAGGATCTCTTAGCCCAACTAGGGTGAGATGCTACCTTGCCATGCTGGGGTGACTGAATTCAATACTGGCTGTCTCAGTCAGTGACACCCGGATATTGAGCAAAGTCCATCCTGATATTAGGGAACCTGATTGCAACCCAGTGACCCCAGATTCTTAACAGCCACTAAAATGGGCTGTGGTGTTCCTCTGGCAGAAAGTCAGAGCTGGAGAGGAGAGAGAAGGATGGGAGATGGGCTCTTATGGGCTCAAGCAGCTCTGAGCATCACAGGGTACATGTACAATGGATCAACCAAAGCTGTTAGAGAGTCCTCCCTGACCATGAAGCCAGCTTGCATGGGACAAGACTCATTCATATCATTCATACTGCAGTCTGCCCTGCTGTGAAGAAGTAGGTGGCCACGTTGCAATTCACTTGATGGGAATGGTCTCTGGCCCATGCTAATGGCCAGGATTAGTGATAAATAATATCAGCCAAAAGCCTGCCAGAGACCATATTTTTAGCGATAGCCATTCAAATTGGCAAGGTGTTTGTTTTTCTAGGACTTTAATGTCTGCATACAGATGCCCTCTTCCACTAGAATGGACCACGAGGGACTGACTTCAAAGCAAAGGGTCTCCAGGCTGGCTGCAAACTGTTCCTGCATTTGCAAGCCCTTGCACCCATAGGGGAAAGCAGAGTCAAACCCCAGAGCAGGAGGACCATGGTACGGTTTGCTGTGGTGCTTCTGGTGCCACGACACGTGGCAGTTACCTGAGCACACCACGCCGGCGTCTTCTCCATGCTCACATCCATGGATGCCCCAGCCTTTGGCTCTGCATTCGGAGAGGGCAGCCTCTGTCCCCATGCAGCGCACGTCGTCCAGCCAGATGGGTCCCTTTCCCTGCCCGAAGTGAGCCCGCCGCGGAGCCGATATCACCATCCCGCAGTCCAGCTGCCGGCACACCACTTTGGCATCCGCGAAGTCCCAGCTGTCGTCGCACACCGTCCCCCATTTCTCATTATGAAACACCTCGACCCTCCCGGTGCAGTGACTTGGGCCATCCACCAGCCGGACCGGGGCGAAGCTGGAAACAGCTGAGCCTGCAAACAGGCAGGTAGATGCTCAGAGCATCCAGCCCCTCTGCGGGAAGAGGAAGGACCCTGTGTTTTGGCACATAGCCGGTGCTGCATGGGCACATCGCCGCTGAACCCACAGCGTTTCATCCCCATTCTGTGGAGACACTTCTCAAAGGGTTTGGGGGTACTTGACCCAGCAGCAAGTGCAGTGAAGCTGGCACCCAAATGAGATGGGGAAAATTACCGGAGTGTCCTGACCCACTGCTGGCGCTGGAGTAAAACCCACCTGAGCACACCACGCTGGCGTGCTTTCCGTGGCTGCAGCTGCTCTCTCCCCACAGGCTCGCCTGGCATTTCGTAAGGGTGGGCTCTGTCCCCTGGCAGTTGACGTTGTCCAGCCAGACGCGCAGGGATCCAGCACCGAAGTCCGCCCCCTCTGATGCCGGCAGCGGCATCCCACAGCCCAGCTGCCGGCACACAACCTCAGCATCCCGCTTATCCCAGTTGTGGTCGCAGACGGCTCCCCACTCCTCCTGGTGAAGCACCTCAACTCTGCCAGCACAACGGTGTGAGCCGTTTGCCAGCCGGAGATGAGCTGGCTCAGGGATGATTGAGTCTGCAAACATCCAAGAGATTTATTAATGCCTTCAGCTGGCAGCCAGTTTCCCTCCATGCTCATCATATTGCAATTAAGATCCTGGCCCCTCTTCAAGCTGTCAAAAAGCACAGAGGAAGGGAGAACAGGAGGGCTCACCACCACCACCTGAAATTCCCCCCCCAGGAGCATCCAGCACCAGAGCATCTCCCTGCAGAGGGTGGTATGTGCTGGTCCTATATCCTCCTGGTCCTTAGTCCCACTCCCTGCAAGAATTGGTTGCTGAGTGACTTGCTTTCAATGAAATTCCCCGCAATGAGTTGGTCCTGTTATTGGAGCTGGAGGGTTCCCAGAGGGGTGGGAAATAGGGATCTCTGCATGAATGCCTTCCACCTCCTTAAATAAACACCTTGAGGTGGGAAGAGCAACCCTCTGATGGGACCATCAGCTGCAGGGGGGGTCCGAGAAAACCCCACTGGCTGCTGATGCTGACCCTCAGTCTTACCTGGGGGTGCAGACCTGCCATCATGACACCCCCTCCCTCCCACCGCCTTGTGTGGAGTGATCCTGAAGGAGTTTTGGTCACCTGAGCAAACTACACCAGCATCTTCACCATGGTAGCAATTATTGATGCCCCACGGACGGGCCCAGCAGGTGGACAGCGTGTTCTCTGTCCCCGTGCAGTTTGTCTCGTCCATCCAGATGATGCCATCCCCACGCCCAAACTGCCCCCCACCAGGAGCTGACAGCGCTCGCCCACAGTCCAGCTGCCGGCAGACGACCTCGGCATCCAGCAGGTCCCAGCTGTCATCACACACCGTCCCCCAACGCTTGTTATGGAAGACCTCGACCCTGCCAGCGCAGCGGCTGGCGCAGTTCACCAGCGGCCTGCCGTAGTTCACCAGCCGGACCTGGTCGCCCTCCAAAGTACCTGAAAGAGGGAAATATGGGGAAGGGCCAGAACGCTGAGATCCCCAGGTAAGGAAAACTGCCCTGGCACCTTCTCAGTTTGCTAGGCATTGCACCAATTGCTGCAAGCTCCTCTGATCACCACGAAAAGGAGCTCGTTGATCCCACGTGCCTGCTGGCACAAGGGTGAGAGGCTGCGAGCTGCATCACAGCAGCATCCCACCCACTGGCATTGGCACTGACCCCTCCAGGAGGATGCCCAAAATTTCTCTAGCCTCCCAGACACGCTGCGACAGCCTGCAGTGGATACACCCATGAAGAGGGCACATATTGTCCAGAGCTCCCTGCAGAGGTGGAAAATCGCGACCCACCACTTCTCGCGTCGTGTCACTCCCAAGGGGGTTACCTGCGCACACAACGCCAGCTTCTCTCCCATGGTGACAAGTGCCATTGCCCCAGGGCTTCATATTGCACGTAGAGAAGGCAGTCTCCGTGCCCATGCAGCTCACCCTGTCAGGCCACATTCGCCCGGGTCCTTGCCCAAAATGTGACCCGCCGGGTGCTGACAGCGCTCTCCCGCAGCCCAGCTGCCTGCACACCACTCGAGCCTCAGCCAGACCCCAGCCTTCGTCACACAGGGATGCCCAGGTGCCGTTGTGGGTGACCTCCACCCTGCCTTCGCAGTGTGTCGAACCGTTGGCCAGGCGAAGCTCAGCAGCCACGGATACCCCTGAAGCTGCCAAAGACATGCAAGGGTAAGTGCACCAGGAGGGCCACAGCTGCTTCTGCTCCAGCCTGAGCATCCTCCCTGTGTGGTGAGTGCCCAACTGACTGAGTGCCCGCAATGCTCAGCATCATCTGAAAAGTGAATTTTGAGGGCTGGTTTTGCAAAGAGGCTTTATTGCAAAGACACCTTATTGCAAAAATACCTTATTGCGTAGTAGAATCATAGAATAGTTTGGGTTGGAAGGCACCTTTAAAAGTTATCTAGTCCAACCCCCCTGCAATGAGAAGGGACATCTTCAACTAGATCAGGTCCAACCTGACCTTGAATGTTTCCAGGGATGGGGCATCTACCACCTCTCTGGGCAACCTGTGCCAGTGTTTCACCACCCTCAGTATAAACAATCTAGTCTGAATCTCCCCTCTTTTAGTTTAAAACTGTTACCCCTTGTCCTATCGCTACAGGCCCTACTAAAAAGTCTGTCTTCATCTTTCTCAGAAGCCCCCTTCAGGTACTGGAAGGCTGCTATAAGGTCTCCCCAGAGCCTTCTCTTCTCCAGACTGAACCACCCCAACTCTCTCAGCCTGTCTCCATAGCAGAGGTGCTCCAGCCCCCTGATCATCTCCGTGGCCGCCTCCAGACTTGCTCCAACAGCTCCGTGTCCTTCTTGTCCTGGGGACCCCAGAGCTGGACGCAGTACTGCAGAGGGGTCTCACCACAGCAGAGTAGAGGGGTAGAATCACCTCCCTGGACTGGCTCATGTTGAGTTTTTATCCCCCAGTACCCCTCCAAGTCCTTCTGTGCAAGGCTGCTCTCAACCCTTTCATCCCCCAGCCTGTATTGATACCGGGGGTTGCCCTGACCCAGGTGCAGGACCTTATTGCGAAGGCAATGTATCGCAAAGGCACTTTCATGCTCCATGCTGCACAGCCCAAATAAAAGAGCTGACCTACACATGCATCAAAAACCCCATCTAAGCCCTGCATCACAGGCGATGGGTGAGACAGACCTGGCCTGGCTGGATGGGCAGGAACTGGGGATGGTGAGTTATGCCTGCAGAAAGCTTTGCATGGTACAGCTTTGTTGTCCCCAAGGCAAACCAGGCTTTGGGGTAGGTTGGCAGTAAGTCACGCATGTGACGGCAAACAAACGGCCGTTTGCTGTTGCACTGGCTTCATGGCAGCAGGAGGTGGGTGAAAGCTTTGCAGGGCAACTTGGCTGCCTGCATGCTGCAGGTGCTCCCCAGCGCTTGCAAAGGGGATGTCACAGGCAAGCAGTCTTGGGAGGGATGCAGGAGCCATCCCACGATCCCTTAGGAAACCCTGAAAAATCTGACGTTGACCCCTCTTGCACCTCGAGCTGTGTTACCTGAACATATCACTCCAGCATCCTCCCCGTGGAAGCAGTTGTTGTCCCCCCATGCGCTGGCCCGGCAGTTGAAGAGGGTGTCCTCAGTGCCAGTGCAGTTCACCTCGTCCAACCAGATGGGATCATGGCCCCTCCCGAAGTGAGCCCCGCTGGTGGCCGACAGCGCTGTGCCACAGCCCAGCTGCCGGCACACCACCGTCGCATCTACCAGGTCCCAGCCATCATCGCAGACCGTCCCCCACATGTGGTTGTGGAGCACCTCCACCCTCCCAGCGCAGCGGTTGGGGCCATTGAGCAGCTGGAGGGTGCCCAGGGCGGTGATGCTGGAGTCTGCGGGTACCCCAAGGGGAACAGTTGGAGAGCAGTTGTGCATCACCACCGGTACAGCAGGAAGGGATGCAGGGCTGGAGGTGATGCACAGCTGGATCGCTGCCATCCCAGGCTACCTGAGCACTCAACGCTGGCGTCCTCCACATGGTGACAGTTGTGTTCCCCCCGGCATTCAGAGAGGTCCCTTTCCTCACCGGTGCAGTTGACCTCATCCAACCAGATCTGTCCTGTCCCTTCTCCGTACCGAGCTCCTGGTGCCACCGAGAGTACTGTCCCGCAGCCCAGCTGCCGGCACACGACCTGGCCCTCGGAGGAACCCCAGCCATCGTCACACACTGTCCCCCACGTCCCGTTGTGGAGCACCTCCACTCGCCCAGCGCAGTGGTCGGAGCTGCCCACCAGGCGAAGGAACCCCCCTGGGCTGTCAGCAGCTGCGCCTGCAAAGCCGGGAGGGGAAAGAGGAGGGGAACTGAAATCCTGAGGGTGAACAGGGCTCAGCTGCTTGCATGTTTGAGGTGGCTCCTGCTGCCCAAAAAGGTATTTCAGAGGAGGCACTGACCATGCCACACCTGCCCTGGGCATCTCAGATGGCCCTGGGCATCTTTTTCCAGGCAACAGAGCCCCATTTCTGCATCTAAATGCCTGAATTAACCTCAGTGTGGATCCCACACCCCAGAAGTCCTTTCCTTCCTCATGTAATAGGCAGAAAAAAATGTGTATTTGAGCTTATGCATGTTTTTGTACAAACAGCCAGCAGCAAAGATGCAGCTTCACCATCAAGAGTGGGTAATGCTTTTGGGGTCCAGCTGCGTGGCAAGCTTGCGAAGATGAGCGAGAAGTGCTTGAACTGGGGGTCTTGGCAGCGTGCAAGACCCACAGTGTGAGATTGCTGCTGGTGCCATAGGCACGCTTTTGCAAGAGCACTAACTGAAGGGAGACCACGCAGAAAGGAGCCGTAATTGGACGTTAGTCACGTGGAGAGCTCAACTGGGTCAGCAGAAAAAAATGTTCAAAAGGGATATGATTGCATTGTGTAAATAAGCTTTTTGACCATGGATAATGATTTCCAAAGTGCTTGGGCACTGATCTGTGTGCAGGTCCAACTATCAGCAAGCAAGGGCCAGACGTAGTACTTGGGAAGTCACAGGGGCCAGAAAGAGGATAAAATAGATTAAAAATCAAATCCCTGAGTCATTCAAAGATGAACAGCATCTGGGCAGCTGTGGCACACTGTGTGCAGGCATGCCTAGCTCAGTTCTTTCATTCAGGATGCACAGCAAGGAGCAGGAAAGTCTCTTTGCAATAAAGCGTCTTTGCAATAAAGCACCTTTGCAATAAAGCGTCTTTGCAATAAAAACCTCTCTGCAATGAAGTGTCTTTGCAAAGCTACCCCTCAAAATTCACTTCTACGAGGAGACTAAACCAGATGCATTGCGGGCACTCGGTCTCCAGTTTACAAGCTCTCCTGTCCCCAGCACAGTCCTGACGATGGCTGGCTCTTGTGTTTCATCCTTTCCCTGCTTTCCCTGTGCGCCTTTTGCTCAGCTTCATTATTTTTACTAGAAGCGATGAGGCTACCCTGTGATAAGCAATAAATCAGCCCTGCAGCTGAGACTTAGCAGAGATATAATATATTCCTTGGCAAGTTTCTTGCAAGCACTGCCTGGTCGCATGTATATTGACTGTGGGCAAGTCCCAGCCCAGATGTCTCCAGCCAGCCAGGAGATACTGACTATCAAAGAGAGAAATGCCATACTGAAATTTCCAGGAGCAGGATTTAAAAAAAAAAAAGTGGGGAGATTGTACTGTTTGTGAATAGGTCACCAAAGAAGGAGGAAACCCAAGAAGTTAATGAAAAATTTTAGTTCCAAGAGGCAGTGGCACAAACTGCCCTTAGCAACGAATCAGCCTCAAAATTAAAACAAAATCCCTACCAGCAGGGAAAGCATGTTCCTAATTTTGCTCACTCCAAACCTAATCAGAAGATGAGTGTTTCTGAAAGCAAACCATGGCTGCAGATAAGGGACCTGTAGGGTCTGTGGCTTCCTTACAGCTCTGCCTGAGCACAAGGGTCATGTCTCTTGCCAGCATCTTGCCTGTCTGCCCCATTAGCCCAACAAATACTCAGTTCCTTGTGCTGCACAGCCATGAGCCACCCAGCCTTGTCCTGGCAACGTGGGTCCCTACTTGCTCATCTCTCCATCACACGGGGAGCCACCTCTTTTAATCCACAGTGCTCTTGGGTTTGGCCAAGCCCCCTCCATGCTGCAATACCATGAGCTTGCCATGCACGGTCCAGGATAAGCCAAGATTAAAGCAGGGCAGGAGGCCATGGCCAGCTGTGAGACAGCTTCAGGATTGGGCATGCTTCCCTGCACACTTGTGATGCTCACAAGCCTTTAATTACGGGGCACAAGCCTTTGATTATGGGGCAAGACCATGTGTGCAGAAGTAGATCTGCAATGCATGGCTCTTGGAGTGCAGCAGAGATAGCTGAGCTCCCGACTTTGCATAAAAAACCTTTCACCTGCCTCCAAAACCATCACAAGCCATTCCCCCCTGCCCCAGACCCCCGAGTGAAAACCAGGACCCCCGACCAGCCCCTCTCCTGTGCTCCACAAAGTGCTAGCTGTGCAGGCTGGAGGAGCTGACACAGCTGGTGGGCTCCCTGCAGTCAGCAGCGAAGGCAAACGCCACTCACCCCAAAGGCATGCCATCAGGAGGAGGGTCCTCATGCTCTTGACCCCATCACGAATGAGTTGGTTTCTGCCCCTGGGGTGGCTGGACAAGAGATGGAGACTGCCTGGCATCCCCATGGACACAGGCTGGAGGTTGGAGTGGACTGTCCTTGTGAGAGAGGCCAGCTGAGCCCGGTGTCACTGGTCAACTGATTTCTGCAGCAAGCCCTCCTCCTCCTCCACCCTGCTCCCCCCTGGGAGTTTCACCTCCTGTGAAGCTCTGCCAGGAGGTGACCCTCTGCCCCATGCACCGGCCAGTCTTGTCATCAGCTTGCGAAATGGCAAGCTGTTCCAGGAAAACACGGAGCAAACAAAACCCTCTCGACACTCGGGTCCCGTCTCGTATGTGCCAGCCCCTGCAGGCACCTCGGCTGCCCCGATGTGTCCTGGTACAAGATACCTACTTTCAACAAGCTAAATCAAGCCTTTATGCACAGAACTGGGGAAATACAGCTACATTAGCTTCATTAGGAAGTGTCTGGTTGGGTTTTGGGGGGTGAGGGACCATCCGTTGCAAGAAAATAGGTTACTAAAGGATGGAAACGGCTTTATAGTGGAGGCTGGAGCCAGCATCTGCACTGTAGGCATTTGCCATCAGGTGAACCTGGACACCATCCATGATGAGAAAGGGTCTCATACCTTGTGATGCTTTGGACAGCTCAGGCAGGTTTAGAAAACAAGGGGAACTGCCATTTTCTTATCCTACTGTAGCTGCACTTGCAAGACCCCAAGGGTCCCTTTTGGATTAGAAGTTTGCTTCCCAATTGCTATTGTGCAGATAATGTTCCAGGCACATCCCAGCAAATCACTGCCCCAGGCATGTCCCTAGATGCCAAGAGGATGGAAGAGTTTGCTGTCCTCCCATCCCTTTGTGGTGGCATGCTGAAGTTGTGCAAGGAAAGGGTCGAAAGCCAGAGCAGTGTGCCACTAGAATGAATAAGTTTTGCAAAAGGGTCGTCAAATTAATGTCACTCATGGCTCTGAATGGGAGGGTTCAGACGGAGGTGGGTGCTGTGCTGGTGGTGTATTGAAGATGAGGCTTGCATTGGGCAAGGATGTGACACCTGCCAGAAATAGGGTGGATGGTTCTGCCCATGTCTGTGCAAAAATAAGAAGCAAAACTGGAGCATGTAATGGGAAGAGGAGAGCATGGCCAGGAAGGTCTTAGGCTGAGTTTAACCTGTTCATCCTGGCAAAACCTGAGAGGGGTAGTAGAATGGAGAGCAGATTGCTCTCTGTAGGAATATAAAACAGAAGAAACCCAAACTCGAGAGGCATGCAGAGCTAGGGCTGAAGACCAAAAGGAAAAAAGAAGTGTGCTAAACGAAGGTACAAGGATGAACAGGTGAAAATTAGGCTGGAAACAAGTCGAAACTCATCTCAGAAAGTCAAGGAGTCGGGAAAGGTGACTGTATTCACTTGTACCCAGGCTCAGTGAGCCCAAAGACTTCGTTCCCCTTCTTTGCAAACAAACAGGCCAGCAGCAAAGACATTCCTGACACTGACCATTATGGAAATGCTGTGAACTGTCATAGCCTGACGTGGCCGATGCAGCTCTGGGCAAGGGCGTTGCTGCTGGGGTTGTTTTCACAGTTTGGACAAACAACCACTCTGGAAGTGAGTCATGGTCCTACGCCCCTTCTGCTCCTTTTGAATTTGGGTGTTTTGTCCTTCTGGGAAGTCTGAAATAAAGCCTTCTTGAGATGCTGCAGTTCCTGCAGAACATCTCTGCAGAGTAGCCCATGGCCTGAGCCTGGATCTAGCAGGTGCTGATCCTACATGTTGGAGCCATGAAGAAACCCAACTCATCCCAGCTTTTTTACAAAGACCTTCTCCAAAAGTTGCACTTATTTTATTGCATAAAGTTGGGTCCAAGCTCCTGTTTTCCCCTATTCTGAAGACACTCTACCCACAGAGCTAGAAGGAGCCCTGCGCCTTTGATGTAAAGTTTGGGACAGGCAAGGCTGGACAACTAGGTCTGCTGGGGCAGCAAGCAGGAAGATGAGAAGGCTCAGGTGCTAGCAGGATGAGAAACCCTGAAGTCCCAGGACCGATGTATGTCTGTGGAGGAGCAGAAGATGACCTTGTGGGCACGTGTTGACAGGAGACACCCATCCAGGGGGGCTGTATGGCTGGGGCTTAGGACAAGTAGCAATATGCCAACTAGTCACAGCTGCCAACTGCTGGCTGGGAGGGAAGGAGAGGTGGGAGGGTAGACCTGAAGGGTGTTGAAATACATGTTGTGACTCCTCCAACATGCATGTCTTCTCCCTGCTGCCTCTTGCACCAACTCTTCCCTTCCATACCCTTGTGCGGAGATCAGCTTGGCTCACAAGGCACACCTTCACCACAACCTGGTCAAGCTTCCAGGTCCCTTTATTCCCTCCCCATGACACCTGGACATTCTTCTGACAATGGCTCCTCCTGACTTTACCAAAGTGATAGATGTTTGGGGCTCAGAACTGACTCCATGGGTTGCTCCATTAGGAACGTGACCCTTCCTTGTTGGTGGCTAGGACAATATCTAACCCAGCGTTAGCAATCTTGAGTTCCCTGACCTGATTATCTACAATCCCTCTATAACCAAGGGGCCTATTCTTCAACCACTTTCACCTCTCCAAGTCACTTCATATCCCAGAATCTGTATAATGCTGCATTCTTGTTCTTTCAGGTTTCAGGGTTTTTACTGGTATTCAAAAGTGGATTGAATAAATACAATGGGTGAGGGACTTCTCACCCTGTTCTAGACAGGCTTTTAAGTGCAGTCCTCATTTTGCAAAGGTGGTTGTGTACAGTGCAGGAGAGCACCCTGCTTTCTTGCTCCTGGATCAGGAAGTAATCCTCACTTTCATGGGAGATGATTAGGGGAAAAAGGTTTCATCCCATTAGGAATGCAGTGAGGGTGATGGTACCAATGCAGATGGCTCTGCAGGGGGTTATACAGATTATAGGGGGCTATAGGGCTGGGGAAAGGGATCATAGCTGTTATAGGGCTGGGAATAAGAGGAGTCTCTGCAGATGGGGTTAGGATGCTGGAGACTACCCAGAGGACCAGATAAGGCTTATTCTGAGAAGACCTTGCTTGGAGACTGAGAGACTTCGCAGTGCTCCATGGAGGAACCGGGACCCAGTGCAGTGAGCTGGGGGCTATCGGGCACACAGGGCAGGGGTCTCCGCTCTGCCAGAGGGGATCCTCTCTGCTGACCGTCACAGCGGCTGCTCCGCTCTTCTGGCTCCACAGAACGGGATCTTCTGGGGTCCTGAGGGAGCCTTGCCTTTGACACCAGGAGCATGGCTGCCTAAGCCTCGGATGACGTCCTGGTGTCCTCTGTCTTTATAAGTGGCACATCTGCAAAATGAAGGAGCAGGGTGATGCGTGGAAGGTGCAATCCCCAGCCCCAGTTTGGGGTGCATCCATGCCAGCCAGGAGTGCAACCAGCTCCACAAGCAGGCCAGGTGCACCATGCGCCATGGTCCTGCTCTTACCTCGGGAGCGTCCAGCCCATCTTCCACATCTCATCCACAGGTACAGGACCAACAGGGTCCCACAGAGGATTACACCCGTGCCAAGC